ATCAGGACATTCACAAACAGAGCGTTCTCTTTAGTCTAATCGCGCATAGATGCAAAAAAAAGCTCGCAAGCGTTAACATTGACAGCACTTGTTAGCAGTATATACAATAAGAATCTCATTATTTGAATGTGTGAACATAGCCCCTCTCTATGAATGAAAACTTTATACCTTATCCGTCTTCTGCGCAGTTTCTTCGTATTGCGTTTGTACAGAATAACACAAAATTAGTAAAATAACAAATATTGCAGTACGAAATATCTCCATGCTGAGCCTTTTTTGCACTTCCTGATTTCCCTACTTGAGAATCCTTGTCCAATGAATGGACGACCTTAGCACACGTGTGGTTTTGTTTACAAATTTTGGTTCACTTGCAAAAAGAGCAGTGTAAAAGCGAACCGTACCAAAAAAAAAAATTATTTGGTCCAGACCAAAGCAAGTGAACTATCGGACTTTCCTGGTGTGAATACACCCTTAGAGTCATTAGGCCCAAACTCAAGGCACGACGCGCTAACAGAAAGTGCGTGTAAGTCACCCACCCGCTTGACTGAGGCGATAGCCACCAGAAAGGCGTTTTTTAACGAGAGATACTTAAGTTCCACAGACTGTAGAGGTTCAAAAGGGGCACCCTTCTTGGCCTCTAGGACCAAGGAAAGGTCCGATATGGGAACCGAGGGGGGTCGAGGAGGGTTCATCCTTCTAGCTCCCCTGAGGAAGTGGACTACAAGGTCGAACAAATCAATCAAACTTGGTTCGGCCAGAACGGAGCTACTAGAAGCACAGAGGAACCGTTCTCCATGATACGCTTGATTACCTGTGGTAACAACGTTATCGGATGGAAAGCATAGAGAGGGCAGCTGGGCCAGCGTGTCCTTGTTCTTTGTGAAGCATTTGGACACTGAGCGTTGTCTTGTGACGCAAAGAGGTCGACCTCCGCTGTGCCAAAGGTGTCCCACAACAGCTGAACTGTCTGAGGGTGGAGAGACCATTCCCCTGGGGGAACGTTGTCCCTGGACAGCCTGTCTGGACCCACGTTCAGATGAACTGGCACATGCGCCGCTCTCAGCGAGAACAGGTTGTGCTGAACCCATACAAGGAGGCGTTCTGCCAGTGCATGAAGGTTCCGTGATCTCAGACCGCCCTGGCGATTTATGTAGGAAACCACCGACATGTTGTCCGTGCGGACAAGGACATGGTGGCCCTTTAGAAGAGGAAGGAAGGACCGCCTTCATCTCTAGATAGTTTATGTGCAAGCACTTCTCTTGGCTTGACCACAGGCCAAACATCGGTCTGCCCTCGTAGAGGGCGCCCCAACCCGAATTGGAGGCGTCTGTCAAAACCACTTTCAGCTTCGAGATTAGCCCCAGGTTTATACCTGTCTGATACCAGCTGACCGCCTTCCAGGGCTCCAGAGCTGTGACACAGTTCTGAGTTACTTTGAGACGTAAACGACCGGATGCCCGTGTTCGACGCGGGACCCGCGTCTTTAGCCAGTGCTGTAAAGGGCGCATGCGAAGCAGGCCTAAACGAAGCACCGCTGAGGCTGAAGCCATGAGGCCTAGAATCCTCTGAAATCTTTTGAGAGAGACATCACCTACTTTGAATGACATCGGCAGGCGCTGAATACACAGAGCGCGCTGTGACGTCAGCCGCACATTGACAAGGGTCCAGATCCATCACCCAGAAAAGAAGCTTTCTGACTGGGAGATAGCGAACTCTTGGTCCAATAGACTTTGAGGCGCCCTTCAAGTACAGATTCATTATCTCGGCTTGAAGCAGATGAGCTACTTTCTGACCTACTGTAGTTTCGACCCGGGCTTGAAAGCGCGGATTTAGACAGCTCCTCATGCAGCTCGGGGAGAAATGGGGCGGGCCTCGTGGAAGGCGCTGAGCGGCGACCAGGGAGAAAGCAGCCGCGAGTCTGTTGGGCGCGGGCTCATCGGGCAGCGACCAATCCAGGCCGAGGTCCTCCACGGCCTTCGTAAGGAGGAGGAGAAGTTCGGCGTCGACGCTGGCTCTAACCCCACTGGACTCCTGAAGAGAAGGGGTGGGTTCTGGAACGGAGCCCGACCACTCTTCACTCCCGGAGGCGATAAGAGAACAGCCATCCTCTTCGTCGTCCCCTTCCAGCTCGTCACAGGCGATGGGAGCGGCTGAAAACGGGCGCTGGACATCTGTGAGTGAAACGGGGGAAAGCAGGGCACGCGGGGATCCCGCCGGCGTGCACTCGTCAACCGGAACCTCCTCAGGTGACCTCTGAGAGCGGTGCTTTTTACGGCGCGGCGCAGAAGCGGAGGTGCGGAATCCACATCAAAGATGGCTAGTCAAGCCCGCAGGGTCGACAAAGCCATGGTGTCGCACTCGGGACATCCGCCCTTGGACAGCGCGGCCCAAGCAGGAAGTGCACAGGATATGGCGGTCCCCGTTGGCGAGAGGGGCTCTGCACGAGCCACAGGAAACACGAGGCATTTGCAGCAACGCCTCGGCTCTTTTAGAACACAAAAACGTGAGTGTCGCAGCGGAGAACACACACGGAGCAAGAAAGGATATAGGCGCCGGATAGCGCAGCAGGAACGGCAACTGAAGGCGGCGAGAAGACGACCGGCTTCTTCAGTGAACTCGTCCCGCTGAAAAGGCTGTTCAACGGCGCAGGCTTCTTCTCTGAGATCAAGCGATCTGAAGACTTCGCTGAAGAGATGAAAATCAAGGCGCATCCTATCGAGCTCTGGCTTATATAGGCATAAGCAGTGGTGGAATGTAACGAAGTACAAATACTTCGTTACTTTACTTAAGTAATTTTTTCACGTATCTGTACTTTACTTAAGTAGAATTAATAGTGCATACTTTTTACTTTTACTTCATTACTTTTTGCAGCAATTATTATACTTTCTACTCCACTACATTTCTACAACGTTCTGTTACATTTTCGTTAAATTTTCTGATCAGTTTTTCCCCTGCCAAAACGTCATCCTGACAGTCCGTTCATCGCACGTTTCTGTCTCACCACCAGTAAAGTTTGGTTGCCATAGATATATCAACCCGGTCACACTAAATGCGTCTCTATAGCACGCAGTGTGTTTATCGTGCAACTTATACGCGAAAATTAGTTTTTACATGCATAGGAAACGCATTGGTAGGTAAGGTTTAGTAGTGGTGTGGGGTGCGTGTGTATTATACGTTAGGTTAGGATTAGTATGGCAAGCCAAGAGGTTCAGAATTACGCCATAAATGAATCGCGTTTACAGCCAAACGCCGTCATATACGGCGTTTTAACATAATATGTGTTTATATATATATATATATATATACCGTATATAGTAAGGGTAGGCTATTTAGTAAGCTTGATGTGTATATTGCCTAATTGCAAGCTTGTTCAGAAATGGTGACAAAAACTTAAAATATAACTGCTTTTCCATCATATTGAACATCATTATATGAGTAATTAGGTTGAATGAGTTAGAATTAACTGTTTTATTAATCATTAGAATATAGACATTAAGAGAATAAATTGTTATGCAAGTACTTTTACTTTTAATACTTAAAGTAAATTTAAAATCAGGTACTTTTTACTTTTTACTTAAGTAGGGTTGTCATTGTGGTACTTCTACTTTTACTAAAGTAAATATGTCTCTGGTTATTTGTACTTTTACTTAAGTACTGAGATTCAGTACTTCCTCCACCACTGGGCATAAGCCACGCCCCCATTAGTGCTTACGTCACGAGCAGTCCCTTGATAGGTTGCAGCAGTTGTCGCAGAGCAGCCAATAGGCGCGCGGTCTGCTCGCTGCAGCAAATGCGTTTTAAATTAATACAAAATAATAAGGATCATTTTTGGCTTCAGTATTCTCAAGAAAGAGGTTTTCCTGTAGCGTAAGCTAGCTTACGCAACACGAGAGTACTCTCGTAAGAGAACTGTTATTTTAAATTGTAATAATTTTTCACAATATTAGCATTTATACTTTACTGGTGAACATTTCTGGTGAAATAAAATTCATAAAAGGATATGTGCAACACTGATTAACTGCAGTAGTAGGGTTCCACAGGGTTCCTTATATCAAAGTTTGCATAATGAACAATATAAACAAATGTTTCAACCACTGATCAAATCTAACCATACTCTTCGGTGTGACCTTTGACCCATCAGGCTTAGCTAGGATGTGTGCATGAGAGAACGTGCCTGATAGCATAGACTACTTGATGTCCATTATAATATGACAATCATAGGTTTAACAATAAAGGCTAAAGCAGCACTTAACTGATTTAGCTCAGAATTGGGATACAATAACTAAGCCATTGGACGATCAGGACTGCACTAGGCAGTAAACCTAATATCTGTGGATAACACCCACGCAGTCAACATACCCCTGGTTTTACTATAATAACACTATGGTCTTTTGGCGGTAATGTTGTAGATTTAAAATAAATAAATAATAAGGTATGTGTGCATTTCAGTGTACTAGTAGGCTACTAGTTTTCAAGTTTTATATAAATAGTTAAAGTGATCTAACTAGCCCTTACATTTTTTTTTACCACAGTAACCATAATTTTCAACAAAACCACATGGGCATATTTATTGGCACTACTACAAAATCATAATTTACTGACATTAATTCATATGTATTATATGTCTTTGAAATTCACCTTTTATCAATAATTTTATTAACTATGGTATTTTATTGTGAAATTTGTTTGCCAGTGTTATTTATTAGGCTATTATTTATAAACTATTTTAGTATTTATTAACATTTTGAATTAGCTTTTATTTTTATATTTTCAATTTGTTTATCTTAATCTAGCTTTAATTTTTTATTATTTCAGTTTTAGTCATTTTAGCACATCAACATCATTTTTTTTTAAGTCATTGTTATGAAAAAGCTTTTGTTATATGGTCTTATTTGCAGTGTGTTGCTTTGACCCTTTTAGAGAGCCTTAATGGCCTTAATTTGAACTTTTCGATTATTAGTCTTTGAGTGGACTCAAATACCTTATAAATTTGAACATACCATTTGGCTCCATCTGAAATTTGAAGATGTGAATCCTGGTTCCAGTGCTTCCAGCATCAAACATTATACCATACTGGAAATTTTCACTGACCACCTGAAATGAGGTTGAATGTTTATGGGTATCCACCCTATACTGGGGCAGCTGGTCAGATACCGGTGGCTTGGAGTCATCATAATGACGTTTGACGTAGGTGAGGTAGACCACCAGGCATCCCACAAACATAAAGATGAAAGCTAGCTTTGGGAACCTCATAATGACAGACAGAGGTACATGATGTGGAGTCAATTTCCCAATGCAGCAGGCTCAACAGTTCTCTCCACTACCTACAGAAAAAACACACACACACACACACACACACACACACACACACACACACAAAACATAATATAAAAAAGGTTTAAATTTGCTATGAGATAAAGAAGTATGAAATATCACTGACCATCATTAGTTTAATTTTTAATGAGAAGCTATGACCAACAAAGCTAACAAAGATTTACAGATTTAACAAAGCCAATACATACCTGTTCTCACTCAAAAGAATACATGAAATAAATTCAAATATAACAAATGATGTCCTTATATTTTCTGCCACAACTATGGCGTCACACAACTTGTAAAGGAATTACTACTAATACCTAGCCACATCTGAAAAACAAAACAGCTGCTGCAAAGCCTGCAATTAATGTATGCGTTATATGAACAATATGGTTATTTTTGTCAACATTGTAAGATTTTCTGACTGTGATGACAGTTCATTAAATTGAGCTATTTAAGTCAATAATTTAAGTAAATTCTAGATTCGTCCATATGTATAACACATATTCGAAACATTATGTTTTGTATCGGTCATGTTGAACAATACGTTAAGTGTACACACATTGAGTGGGAAAATACAAACGAGAGAACACAGGTGAACACTTTAACATGGTGAGCATATTAATCTAAAATAATAACTTTCTATAACACTGGTACTTTATTTTAATTTTGTCTCATTTCTCAAGAATAATGTGAGAACAGATCGATAAATCTCATATTTATGAAACAACAATGTCATTATCCGTATTTCTAATATTTAAGATCGTTATACCTAGTTCTCTGTAGCAAGATCATATTCCTTCGGATCCGAGTCGTGTTTTCTGTATCGACGAATAGCCATGGAGAGATTTTGACATGTTATTCCTTTTGAAAAATTGTCAAAACTCCACTGGGCTCGTTTTGATTACGTCAGTATCGTGCAAGCGTGCAACGTGGAGATGACGTGGAGCGAATACGTACAAAAGAGAAGACAGACGCGCCCTCACAAAAAAAAAAAAATACAGACGCGCCCTCACTCACACAACCACATAGTAACACACTTGCAGCAATGTTATATTGATAGGCTAAATACTGTTTATGAAAAGACAATAATATTCCTCAGATTTTATTTCTGTTGCATTAAAATCCTTTTGCTAGGGAAATCCATAATTATAGCCTAGTTGTTAAATCTGCTTAAATGTTGTTACTTTGCTTCCCTCCCTCCCTCTCTCCCTCTAAAGTCTATTCATGATGGCACGCCTAAAACGAACATTAATAATGTTAGTTTTAATTGGCCTATTTAGTTTGCATAGAAACATGCTTAGATTGTAAGCAAATAAATTGTTTACTTATACTGTAACCTAGGCCTACTACTTTTTTCTTTATGATTCCCATTTGAGCCAATTCGTTTAGGGTAAGGAAATACAAGATCGAATTTAGCCTACTGAAATTAAATCCCTAGGAAAGTAATTGGTTCTGAATTGCAGTATCCAAAAAAGGTCCATTCACATAGTGGTTTTGGCTGAAATTTAAATCCTTTGATAATTCATTTAATTTGAGCTGATTCCATCTGAATCAAGTAAGTAGACGCATTTGGACATGTAAGCCACATTTAAAATGTATCAATTTTCATTGCATTAGAAAACAAAACATCAAACCAAGTGGCATCTGACTGCAAACAAATTATGGCATTAGTTCAAATACATTTTGTCATCATCTTGAACAGGCCTACATCTAGCTATATTTTTGTGATTGACAACCAATCAATCTTCTATTTATGAAATGTTTTGCTTGAAACATGCTTGTTTTTTGTTATAAGAGCAACAGTTGCAGCACAAGTTATATTGCCGTTTTCAAGCCCCATTTCGACTGTTCAATGCTTCCCTCTTAACCTCCTGAGACCCAGAGAGCCAATTACACTTTCATTGTGCTGTTTTCAATATGGCACCAGCTGGTCTCTCCACCGAGGCCCAGTGAGTTTTGTTAAAGTTTACCAGGCTGTGGCAGCTATACATGACCTGTGGCGCATCTCCATTCATTACCTTAATTAACCATCATTAGGCCTGCTATATGGGCCAATCTGTGGTTCCTACACTTTCTCATGCAACATGCGACACCCCCATCTGAGCTTGAATTTCAGCCAATGAGTGACCTATAATGAGAGGTCCCTGCAATGGGGGGGGGGGGATGGTTTTGATGATATTCATTTGACGCTTTCCATTGAGAGTGTCTGCGAGCACAGTGCAAGCTTGAAAGGACCATATGCTCTCTTTTTACATGAGGGTATGTGTGTGAGTGCATCTATCTAGGACACAAGGTCCAGCAGGGGGTGAGGGGCAACAGACCGCCTAATATAAGACCATTCTCACTTATCAAAAATCAATGTGGGCGGACTTTTTAAGGGGGAAGGGGACGATGGCCATCCCTCCAAACTGTTGCACTCTGACCGCCCCCCTCAAACAGCGATCCATACATGACTTCCCCCATTATAACTTAAGCAGTCATTACAGACGTACCTCAACAGTTACAGCAGAAAGCAAAACGCCCCCTGCTCGTCCCCCCTCAGCCCTTAATAAATGACCTGATCTCTGTCTTTTTACTCACCAATGGGCTGAGTGGCAGTTTGCATAATGCACAGGGATTGTGAAGAGAAAAAAGGGAGGGTAGATCAACAAATGTATTAGTAATAAAAGGTGTTTTTTTACAAAGCTTCTGCTGTTCATTTTTCTAGCTGAAGCGATATTTAGCTACATATTCTCCACCACAAGATGTATTCATTAATCTTCCAAAAAAAGTGTTTGTTAAGCCTGTTAACTGTCAGGTCCTGGTAGCAGGACACTTGGTGCATTTTTTTATCGCCTTTTATCCATCTCATTTTAGTAATCATCATACATTAGATATCATTCAAAAGCTTAAACACTCAAAATCCATCCTGTGAACAACGTTTTGGAATTGGACATTGCGTTATTAGAAAAAATACTTTAAAACTTTCAGCAGGCTCAATTTTTGTGAAATCAACTTCCAATTTGGAACACAACTTGTTTGGACACGTGGCTTTGATTTTCTAGAAATTTTAGTGTCCAAATAATTTTTTTTAAAATATCTTTTGAATATAATTATGTTTATTTAGTACATTTGCTTTACAGTAAACTTTTATAACTTTTTTACACTTTCATTTTTTGCTTTCTCTCACACTACAGAATTTAGAACCTTAAACTGGGTTCTGTTAAGCGCTTCATAAATAGAACCTTTTAGAAGTTCCCATCATGGGATCATTTTATGGATTTAGTTTAAAAAAAATTTTTTTTGTTAAATTAAACAAAATTTAATTAAATTAAATTTATTTAGTGAATTAAACAGCTTATAAACATATTTTATCACTAGAAAAAAATGTATACAATCATTTAAAACATTTCTCCTTATATTTTTGAGTCAAGAACCCTATGGTTCTATACGGAACGCAACTGAAACTTTTAAGAGTGTGCATTTCAAAGCATTCAATTACAACCAGGGCGGTGACAGTTAACAGGTTAAACAAACTACTCCACAATTCCTCTATAGAGCATCAGAGTGTATTTATTTAACATAAGCTCTTAATAGCTTTTTAGCAATTTAATGTTTAATGGTCCCTTAATCTCTCCCTCACATTTTTAACAATGATTAGACCATTAGTGATGTGGTCTGCATAACCATTAAAAGCAAATTCATAGCAATTACAACACATTTTTAAGAGCCACTCTCTATAGTAAGACCACTAATCCAGTTCACTTTGACCCAACTGACGTAAAATGGGTGGAAATACACCGATATACCCATACATTAAACTGCCTTGTATTTTTTTTTAAAGAGGAAAGTTATTGAAAGTGAAACAGTGACTCATATGAAGTTGTTTCATCATTTCTAAACAAGTTTCCATAATCCAGATGGATTTTCCACAAAGGTCTAAATTTGTTAAACAAATTTAAACCAATTAATGTGGATTTTGCATATTTAAATCACAAATTTGCATATAAACTATGCAAACTGATTTTTCTCTTAATTAAATTGCATTCAGTGAATCATACCTCTGTGTAAACCTGTACTTTATCCTGAACCCCTTGTCCGTGTACAAGTCATTTGAATGCTTTTCTTTATTACAGGCTGTTTTTTTCACAGCTTTAATGCACAAACAAAAAATAAGACATTATCTGAGATCTTCCTAGAATGAAACAATAGTCTAATCCTGCTGCCATTTGTTAATCTGAGAATACAAGACTCGGATGCCGTAGTGTGTGCATGTTTGGAGGGGGGCGAAACATCAGATCTACTAACAGAATTAGTTATTGTTCCTTATTATCAGTGTTTTTTTTTTTCAAGCAACGTTGCAGGAAATTCCCCGAAAATCCCATTGAACACACATTTTAATTTCATTTTTGTAGCTTAATCGTGTAGAAGGCAGCATAAATAATCCAATGGGATTAGGTCATGTTTTTTTTTTGTCTTTTCAAATACTTTCATTTAAGAAACTGTCTAACACTGTTGCTCTCTATGTAACGGAATGAGCAGAGAGGAATGACACACAAGCAATTACAACCAAACTCTATCACCACATATCTGAACATAAGAAAAAGGCTTAGTCACATTTAATAATACTGTGTGTATATGTCCTTCGTGGACAACATATATACAATAACTGGAGGATAAATTGAAGAAATTAGACATTTCTCGCTGTCCAGATGTTCTCCAACTGAGGATTTAAAAGATGTAATAGGAGTCATCGATTAACAATTATTCTAATATACTTATTGTGAATAAAATCCTGCTCTAAATCCTTTCTAATAATCCTCCTTACAGGATCATGTGTATTACATGTATGTACGTGAAGAGAGTGGGGGAGTCACATGGTATTGCCCGTCTTTCAGTATTTTCTGATTAAGGCAAAGTATTTATAGATGTATTTAAAACGGCAGAGAGATTTTTAACTAGACCCCATTCTGAAAGCATTTCAAAGGTTTTGACCACAATCATGCAAGAAGGTTGATGTAATGTTATCTGAGATCATTCAAGCACCTGTAATAGTTAACAATTATAAACTAAAAGTCAAAGAAGACTTGTAAAATTTGTCAAAGTATCTTACAGAAGTCTTACACGTAAATAATGTGGTGTTTGTAGAACTTTAAAAATAAAGGCAGTTCCCTTTCGAGAACGGTCACTTCGTATTGCGTAGCTATACGCAGTGGGGAAACTCCTTTTCCTCAAAATTCTGAAGCTTAAAATGTAAAACGCATTTTGCAGCTGCACAACTAGCACAGTGAGTCTCTGGTTCACTCATTGGCTGTGCTGCGGAAACTGCACATCCAATGGCGCGGGCGCCTCCAACGTGTGCACCAATGAGCTAGCATTACATCATACACGTCAGAGCCCGCCAAGAGGGCATGGCCAGAGCCCATATAAGCCCCCGAAATAGCCATTATAGCAGATTCATCTCCTTCAGCGACATACTTCACGTCTCTGAGTCCTCTGAAAGCTTTCGCCGTCGAATCCAGCATATACAGTTAGAGTGTGCATCACTACAGCGGATTTCGCCTTCGTCTGAGAAGCCGTCTTCCCCTGTCGCCTCTCTGGTGTCGCTATCCAACGACCTACGCATATCCATTTGCTAATCTTTGCATTTTAGGAAATGCGAGCGTTGTTCCAAATGCCTCGCTCTTCATGCGCCACGAGGCCGATGGACATGCTAAGTGCATCGCGTGCCTGGGAACCTCCCATGCTCAAGCTGCCTTTTCTGCCGGGGGATGCTCGGTTTGTAAAGGCGTGCCCGTCTCGACGCTGCGGTCGCGGCTAGCTCTCTCGCAAGATGGCGACGCCGCTTCCCCTTCCCTTCCTTTTCCCGCTCTACTTCGGCCGAGGAAAAAGAAGCGCCGCAGCCAGCGTC